CTAACGGTTGGGTTGGCAATGTAACAATGCTGTATCTGTTTCTTTAAATCATACTGTAAAATGTGATTGGGTGCTGTTTCCTCAATCGGCCATAAGAGGGAGCCAAAATGTCTGTTAGCTCTCTCTGTTTGTTAGATGCTGGGCTGATCTGTAAGTTTTGCAACTGCTAGCAAACTTTGTGTACCGGACTGTTTATATGATACTGGACTATGTTATTTGGATTATCCCTTAACTGAAAGACATTGATGACTGATTGTCTTATCCATGTATGACCTGGACAGTTTGATGGACTCTGATTTCCACGAAAGTAAAAGCCTATTTAAACTGCAGTGTCTCTGTATGCTGGTTTGTGTGTTCTCCAACACAACTCTCACAACCTTTCGCTGAACATACTCGCTCTCCCAACGGGGAGCTTAACTAAGACACTTAACAACCGCATGATTTCCTTAATGACCATGGTTAAAAACAGCCATAAAAATTGGGTGTGTCATGAGATGACTCACTTAATGGCTGCATCTCTTAGTGACTGAAAGCCTGGTCCAAATTGGGTTTGTAAGTCAAGGATTTATTTCCCCTCTTATGTAATGATACCAAAGGCAGCATCTCTTCACACATCTACCAAGGTCTTTCCCACATACCACTACGCAAGCAGAAAGCAAGGAAAGTAGCCAAGTTGGTCTTTCCTGATCTTTCACGTGAATCCGTGTCAAAATCTGATTTAGCTTTGAGTCTGGCTAAGCAGAAGGCAAGTACATTATACATTCTCTTCAGGAAAGGTCATTTTCCTTGGGTATTATGAGAGCAATGAAAGGATATATTATTGCCATTCTGTAGACCGAGAGAAGACAAAGAAGACATGGATACTCACTGGTTTTGGATGGTTAAAGGAGAATGTGACGGGACTGCTCAGGGCAGTGGTCTCATTATGGCCTACAAAAGCAGAGGCCACCTTGGACAACACTTCATAGTTGGGCTTGCCAGGCTCATGCATCAATTCCTTGGATTTTCCTATTTGTTCCCAGTCGCTTCCTTCAACATCCGCACCCGTCAGAATGAACCCTAGATTCTGGTAAGAGAGGAGGCCAACAACACTGGGGCCTGAAAAGGGAAGAGCAATTCAAATGTGAGGATGCAGAAGTTACTGGGATGAGATGATCCAATGCTGGATCATAAGCAGGAGAATATAGTGAGTGGGTTTTCTCTCTTTAAAGTAGCAATGGAGAAAAACAGTATGTGCAAATTCAGGTCTATGTGGGAAAATAATCTTTGCAAGCAGAGAACTAGCGCAGCAGGGAATTTTCTTTTGGACAATCTTGGAAAGAGATTCATATAGAATTTTTTAATACTCCTCTCGCTCCATAGTCTCATTGTACAATTCCCAGTTAACAATTTTTGTGGTGTTAATAATTTGTTCTAGTCCTCTAGATATTTGTATTCTATTTGGTTTAACTATCATTTTAAGGAATTTAAACAATATAGTATATTCAATTGCTTCTTGGAATAATGGTGAATTATAATTTACATGATATAAATAGAAATAATATTAAACAATATATCCCTCGTGTATTCACCTGACTCTATTCCTTTGCCTCTTTTGTGCCTTTTCCTTCTGTGTATATATTTTCCCCGTTTCAATAAAAATGTATATTAAAAATTTATGGTGGTCATGTATCATTTAGTTTTAAGAAACTTATCAACACAAAAAGCTGCCTGTCATTTCTTCAAAATATACTGTAAGAATTGTCTTTCATCAGACTGAAAGCCCATCCAATTTAGTATTCTGTTGATAAAAATGAATACAAAGATGATTCTGGGGAAAACACACAGAGACAATCTTTCCCTTAAATTCTCTAACCCACAACATTATTTAGAAATATTTCAGAAATTGAATGCTCTATTCTTCATTCTGTCAAATAATTTTTAAAAACTACACAGGGTCTTCACTAACAGTGGTAAGGAATTTCATACATTAAATCCAACATTGTTTCCTGAACATTTTCCTAATTAAACTCCTTTGAGCAACCTTCTCATCTAATACAGAAAGAAAAAATATATAACAAGCTTTCTCCTTGCCATTGTTATTTTTTAAATAAAACACTAAATTGTCTTCACAATCAATTGTTTTCCAGTACTTCACTTCTCTTAATAAATGTTCAGAACAGCTGCAAAGGATTTGCTCCCCTCTCCTGGCCTACCCTGGTTGTTTAATCCTATTTCTCCGCCCATTCCCTTGGTGGGGCAACCCATGGCTCAAAGAAACCATATTTGTCTGCCTAAGTGATGCTTGGTGGCACAGAAGAGGTACAGATTCACAGGTCTATAAAGAAAAAGAAAGCAAGTAGAAGGAAGGCCTGAGACAGTAAGAAAGGAAACCTTCTTCTGGGACCTATATATCTAGCAAGAACTCTTCTGCAACAGCCCACTGAAAAAGAGAAAGTTCCACCCTCCACTGACATATGTCTCTCAGCTAATTGCTCCTAAGATAATTTGGCTCTCCAGAGAGAAGAGAGCCTCTCTTCCATGCCCACAGTATGGCCAAAAGTTTTGACCCAAAAACAGCTTTTTCCTTCTGCTGCCTTCCCTCCAGCTTTTCCAGGTCGTTACAGGCATATTCTGTTCTTCTCACAGCATCGCCCACCCACTTTGTTATGATGCTGCAGCTTTTTACCTTCTCCCTTCTTGCTTGCTTCTTTCCAGCTTACTTCCATCTGTGTTTCGTTCAGCCACGGTTGCGCCAGATCTTGGCTTGAGTTGTCTGCTGTTCTGATTTCCATCACCAGTTCTATTGCAAAACGGAAGGAAGATGACAAGGTTAGCAGGGAACAGAAAAGGGCAAGTGGCAGGGTCTCTGAAGTAAACATCACTCTCCTCCAAATATTCCAAATATTCAAGAAACAGATTTACCCAGCAAGGGAGGGGGAATCTACCATAAAGCAGAATGAAGCTGGGGAAGGAGAGCTGATTTCATATTTCAAAATGATCCTCCATATCCTTCTTAGATATGCTATAGGAAAGGGGTGGAGAACCATGGCCCTTTTATGACTTGTGGACTTCAATTCCCAGAATTCCTGAGGCAGAATTCTGGGAGTTGAGGTCCACAAGTCATAAAAGGGCCATAGGTCCCCATCCCTGCTGTAGAATAATTCCCAATAATCCCAATCAGCCACAGTCTAATTCATCTGGAAGCTATCACATTAGGGGTGGCTAATACCCAAAGAAGGTATTGCAGTGGAGGAAGGAGAGAATTTCTGGGCAAGACCAGCCATGAGGGAAATCTCAAATCACCCCAACTCTGTATACTAACCTGTGCCTGCTTTGGACTTGATGGTGGTGGTTCCATTGGGTAGGGCGAATGCAAACATCCTGAGCCAGGCCTCCATCACTTGCATTATCTTGGTGGCCAGTTGGTGACTCTGCTCCTTATTCTCATCCTCCATCAACTTCAACAGATTGTCCAGATTGTCCAGTGTTTGCTAAAACATGATGACATTTGTGTTTATGGGAAAAGCTGGCACTCGGAGACACACTCGGGCTCATTGTTAAATCTACCATGCATAGATAAGCAGAGGAATGGAGAAATTCAGATTTTTGAGCATGTAAAATCTAAGAAATAATCTGCCTCTTTACCAGCAGCCAAACAAATATGCCTGGTGATGTCTCCATTGTTATCGCATTAAAATATTTTAATTAAAAAGTAATCCAGGATGCTATTAAAGCAGATACAATGCTGGCACTGAACATTGTATTATTTGTGGCCATAAATGCCTCTGGGTCCTACCTGTAGAATTATAGAATGTACAATTTTCAGACAAAAGAATAAAAGTGCTTTATTGGAAGGGTGCCCTTCTACTCCCCCAAAGGACAAATCCTGAGATGGAAAAAAAAGAGTCTTTCCTGGTCTGTAGGGACTATGAGTGGGCAATGGCTCCATTGGAACCATTTGGTGGGTGAGCCTATGGCATATGTTTAAAATTTTGACCCCATGTGGTTGATGATCCCTGGATGAGAGTATGAGATAATGAGTTATATCATCAACTTTCCTCATCCTATTGTTCTTTGGGGATTAGTACATCCACTGATTCCAGGAAGCACAGCTAATGATCACGTTGGATGTGATGATGACAGTTGTGGACACAAAACAGCTAGGTAGTACTTGACTGACAAAGCGAAATAAAAAAATAAAAAAATAAAAATTGAAACAAGATTGATGTGTCCTCCAAATCGACTTTCAAATTATAATCTCTCAATTTTTTTATTCAGCTTTTACAAATTTCTCAGAAAAACCACTCTGGATTAATTGAGATTGGGTGAATGGAGATTTTCTGCACATGAATTCTTTATTCAAAGCATAACTACTCAAGAGGAGGTCCATTGATTTATTTCATTTTATTTTATAACTTGGGCTATTTTTACATATTAGGCAGTTGTATTAACCTCTAAGCCACAAGCTCTCCCCCCTAAGGGGTTTAGAGGTCAATACAACTGCTTAATATGTAAAAACAGCCCAAGTTCGAATCCCAGCAAGGGTATGGCTAGCTGATGAGAGCTAGATAGCTTGAAATAGATCTATAGTAGTCTCCCTTCATTTTTTTATCAGCAAAAATGGAACACAAAATTGTTTGTCTGCCTGGAAGGCTCCTGGAGTGGGTCTGAAAGGGAAAAGGGAAGCATTTGGGCATACCAGGTGCTTTGACAAAAGAAAAAACACTTTGTGTATGTGCGTGTGTGTGTATGTGCATGTGTTGTATTCACCTTTATTACAAATTAAATATACCCATTTATACACTGATTTGTATCTTCTTGCTACATAAACAATCACCATAAGAACAACACAGTGAGCTTCATCCTCTTGCGAAACGGGCATTTTGGTGATATGAAAACTGTTTCCTTCCTCATTAACAACTGACTGAGATCTATTTAGAAATTCACAAGTAAAGGATCTATAAACAGAGCGCAGTCAGGAGTCTGTCAATAAAAAGGATGGTAATGCTGTTATACAGTACATGCTCCTATATACTGCGGATACTCGAAGTGCTTTTTTGCCTGTTATTTTTACTCCAACTCAAATATTTTTCACTTTCTTTTTAGAAGTCATATAAAATAGTGACTGGAATAGCAATAGTTTTAGTTCTTTACTTTTTAAAGGAATTCATGTAAAATTATTATTCTACTCTACCTTATTTTGGGAGGCAGAAATATCTTTCTCAGAGTGAACGGCTAGTGACATGGATTTACCTTCTTGCTAACTTCTTATACTTACTAGATTTGCATGAAGCCTTCTGTGGTCCCAGAATAAAAGTTTTGTCCACCAAACGTCTATTTGATGTGGCCATCACTTTTCATTCTCTCTTCGCTCCCTCTCCCTGTCCATCTTCCACATGAAGCGCACAGCTGGGATTACTCTTAAACAGCCTCTAAACTAAGTTGACCTGCCATTACTGAGCAATCCTTGTTTGTGTTAAGTGATGGGGAAGGGATGGATGGCTCAGGGAGCCTTCAGAGAGAAGTGTTTTTTTATCAGGACAGCCTGGTCTACCCAATTATGAGATGGAGCTTTCGCCTTTCAGCCCCAATCCAGGAGCCTTTACAGGCCGTCGCTTTCACCACAAACTATTTTTGTGTTGAATTTATATTTACTGGCAAAGAAATAAAGGGAGGCTAGTATAGATCTAGCTTGAAATAGATCTATACTAGTCTCCCTTTATTTCTTTGTCGGTAAATGTAAATTTAACACTTCAGAGAGGAGAGGTTGGAAGGCAGGGATGCAAATGAAGAAGGCAGCAATGAGAAGCAGTGGAAGCAGAAGTCTCTCAACTGTGGGAGAAATTAAAGGCTTCCAGAGTGCATAAAAGATGTGAACCCGATTGCTGCTTCTTTTACATCACATCTAGATCGACAGTTCATTTATTGGAGAGTGGAAAGAAATACACGCACACATGTGCATAAGAGAACCATTGTTATTTGACTAGGGTGTGATAACTGGCTGCCCTTTTAGATTGGGATGTTGTGCAATCATGTGCAATGTGAAAAATGTCAAAGATATGAGCTGCTTTAGATCTTAATACGTGATGGATGCAGGGTAAGCAGGGCAGGGAGCTGCCTTCAAGGCATCTCCTGTCAGCTTGTCTTCTTAAATATTTTCCCAAGTTGCTTTTTCCTGTAAGCCAAGAACCAAACTGAAAACATACCTCCAAATGCTTCTTCGAATCCATTTGGCTGCTCACATTTGGCGGTGAACTGAAGAGGTTTCTCAGCTGAGTAGTAACGTTGTAAAGCAACACACTCTGCAAAGTAACACACGGCAAACACCATTAGGGGATAAGGATGAGGGGGAGGAACCATGATGAAGAAATATGAAATCAAAGAAGACTCTTTAATTCACTGCAGATACATAGATAGATGAATGATAGATAGATAGATAGATGATAGATAGATGAATGGATGATAGATAGATGATAGAGGAATGGATGATAGATAGATAGATAGATAGATAGATAGATAGATAGATAGATAGATAGATAGATAGATAGATAGATAGATAGATAGATANATAGATAGATAGATAGATAGATAGATAGATAGATAGATAGATAGATAGATAGATAGATAGATAGATAGATAGATAGATAATTGATAGACAGACAGACACACACACACACTCTACACTGGATAGAAAACTAACATTTTGAAAGCCCTATTAACCAATAAATACATTTCAAGAATAAAATTCCAGGAGAATAATTTTCACAGGTGCTATAATCTGCCCTAGAGTGTCTTAGTGAACCAAAAAAACCAGCATTAGGTAAATTTAAGGCTCTCAGTGGTTTGGATTCAAGCTCCAAATAAGCTTGAGAGAACATGGGGGCATGACTATAGTATGACGCCTTAAAACAACAGCATCTTTTCCCAATATCACATTCTTGAGTCCAATCCTGCAGACATCTAATATATTTTATCCCTGCACAACATAAACGTAGAAACCATATACTGTATGCCATTTAATTCTGTACCCTGAAAAATCCTACTGTGTTTACTTAAAAAAAAACATTATCTTCTGATCCTTAAGATTACAAGGTAAAACACAGCCAAATTCTTAGTAATTACTAGGTTGGGGCAGTTCAATGAGATAACTACATGCAACTTTTCACTTTGCTTAACCAAGGCAAATCATGTCATTAAATTGTATTGTAATGTTAGGTGTTGTTGCTGTTTATTTCAAAAGCCATTAGACTATTGCTCAGGAGGCAATGATTTGCCACGTTAGAAAGCAAACTTAAGTCAGGAGGTCCATGGTGGAAATACCGTTACATCCAGAGATGTGGTGGAGGAGGAATTCAAGCCATCTCCAGTGAGAATATCTTTTAGATCCAGCTAATGAGTGTGTCAGCCCAAAGGGAATGAAAGGGATGCAGTATGTAGCCTGCAAGCCTACATATGAAGCCCTCGGACATCATGCTGCATTTATGTGCCCCCCTCCACAAGCAGGAACTCCACAGGTGGAACAGGGATGTTCTCACAATGGGCTACAATGACAATCTCCTCTTTGTCAGTGGAGCAGCACTTACATAATTACCTTACGGTCAGTCCACCCCAAGGATTATTCTACGCATACCGTAAATTTAATCCTGACTTCAAGGTCTAAGCATTTAGGACTCACCTGTTCATCTGAACTGATATTCCATGAAGGCATGGGATAGTTGGCTTCTGAGGATAAAACAAACAATTTATGGAAAAATATAGTTTTTCATTTCTAAAAATCTCTTTGTTTTACTTCTTTTTTTCTAAGCATGTTAAGTTACACTTTGTATTGACCAGATCATTTTAGCTCTATCTATCTATTTTTGGAACCTAACAGAGTAAAGTCTCAGTGCGCAGTGAAAAAAGATCTTGCGGTGGCCTAATACTTCCATTGAAGAGAAACTATGCTTGGTACTTTCCCCCTATTAAATGCTTTTTATTGCGCTTAATGGTACCACAAAACAAATCACTATTAGTCTATCAAAAAAAAGAGGGGAAAAAAGAGAGAGTCTGAACAAGATTTGCCGAAAGTCAAGGGCAGAAGCTGTCCAGCAACATTTAATTCAAAGAATCAGCATGGCACAGGAACCGCACGACATAAGCAAAAAAGGAGTAAGAAGATGGTGGTTGTGTGTAAAAAAGGCCCAAGGTTGGAAAGGATGGAAAAGGCACCATTCTTTAGTTTTCTACAGTGGTACAGCGGTATATTTGTGCATGCTTTATTTCCTGAATGTGACCCAACCTTTTGGCTCTTGGTCCAAAAAATGTAAAAGCCTGAATACTAGGAGCAGCATAAAATATTTTTAAACATGAGACTGGGAACTGTGCAATTTGGGGAAGATTTTTCTCTGATGATGACTTGCTGAGTTGCTAAGTCTGGTAATCCATATCTAACCAGGACTATGCTGGAATATATTTTAAGATATTCTAACGGCATGAAGCCTGCTCGTCCAAATCATATTGGCCCCATAGATTTTCCCATCTGAACTGCTGGGCTCTGGCAAGCAATGCTCCTAACCCCAGAACGGCCTTAATGAGCCAGAACTGAAGAGCAGAGGGGGGCTAATTGTTGCCAATCACTTAGGCTGGAAGATAAAGCTGTCAAACCAGAGTTCCAGGGGAGTGGAAACTTGTCACCCCTGCAGAGATGAGCCATCAGTGGAAGTTGTAAGAAAATAATGCGCCCAGGTAGCCTACTTAAATGTGGCCTGAACAGAAAACGATCACTCTTAACAGGTCTAGAATCAAATTGTTTTTATATGCAGGGAGCCAGTAAAACAAGCTGAGCAAGGAAAGGACTTTCGTTTATTGAGACAATCAAGGTATCTTGTTAAATGATTTTTCTCTCGTGTGGATTTAATTTTGTTATAATAAATGCAAACCAAACTGTAATGCGATTTTAAAGTGAGCACAATACGCATACAATTTTTGAAATTTAAGAGAATAACGATCTTGAAGTATAAGTTAACGTAAAAGTCACTTCTCATACTATCTGTAAAAAAAAACCCAAAGAGGTTTAGAGGTTTATTAACATTTATAGGCCGCCCTTTTCCCTGAGGGGACTCAGGGCGGCTTACATAAAATCAAGGGAGGGATATACAAACAGTAACGCAGACAAACATAAAATAAAATAATGAACAACATTCATTCATCATTCGGGAGGGGCAATTATCTTTGTCCCCAGGCCTGACGGGCTAGCCAGTTCTTAAGGGCTATGCGGAAGGCCTGGACGGTGGTGAAGGAAGGCTGACCATTGCAAAACAGAAGAAAAGAGATTTAATAAAATAGGAAGCCAGCGTCTTTATTAGAGGAAGTGGTGTGAAAAACTAAGCCAAAGAAGATTTGAATCTTGCCTTTATAAAAAAGTTATTTTTTTGTTTTACCTCAGTTGCTGAAATGCTTTTGATAATAGCTTCCAAGTTTCTTCAATAAATCTTATTTATTCTCCGTTCTTGGACTGTCTTATGCAAGGGAACTTACCTAAATGGTTCCAGCCCTCTCTCTAGCTTGTTGCCCAACAACAAGCTCCTGTGTGGCCTGAGTCATTGTGAGGCTGTTCTCTCTAAAAAGGCTGCTTCTGCCCTTAATTTCTTTTCTCCAGCTTCTCCTTTCAAATTTACCTTGGCATTTTATCTTCGTTTTATTCTCCTGGACAGCACTGGAATATTGGAAATATCCTGGTGGGCAATAACACGTATAACTTCCTACAGTGTTCTTGCAGATGGCAGGTGCATCACAATGACTTCCACTGCACTCATCAATATCTGTGAAAAACAGCAGAGTATGAATATAAAACCAATGTAAGACTATATAATGCAAAAAGGGATATGTATGTATGTATGTATGTATGTATGTATGTATAAATAAATAAACAAACCTTGGTGGGTGGATGTAGAGTGCTGGCTTTGTTTCAGTAAGTGGATGATTGGTTGTGTGGCTGTATCATGATTGGTAGATTGGTGCTGGCTGTGTGTCCGTTGTTGTTTTGTATTGTAATGGCCTAGGTGGTGGGTGGGCCTCGTTTGTTGACTAAGGCTGGTCTCCAGATGTCTGGGAGGCGGGAATAAACATGACGATACCCCCCGCTTACTAGACATCTAGTCAACAAACGAGCCCCACCCACCACCCAGGCCGTTACAACACAAATGTCTTCCAGCACCCTGCCCATAATCATACAGCA